TTTTTTTTTTTTTTTTTTGGATGGGGGGCAAATACCATTTTTAAACAACATAAAAGGTGACTATGCATGGACCTAGTAGGTGGAATACATAGGAATCAATTTGACTACGTCTGGGGAAGAGACTGTGGAAAAGCTCTATATCAACAGCCAAAACAAGACAGGGGAGGCTGTCTGTGGAACAGATCATCAAATACTCATATGGAAGTTCAAGCTGAACCTGAAGAAATTTAAAACAAGTCCACAAGAGCCAAAATAATGACCTTGAACATATCCCACCTGAATGTAGAGACCATCTCAAGAACAAATTTGAAGCATTAGACACTAATGACCGAAGACCAGGAGAGTTGTGGGATGACATGAAGAACATCATACAGGAAGAAAGCAAAAGATCATTAAAAAGACAGGAAGGCAAGAAAAGACCAAAATGAATGTCAGAAGAGACTCTGAATCTTGCTTTCCAGTTAAAGATGCTAAAATGGAAGAAATGAGGAAGTAAAAGAACTAACAGAAAATTTCAAGGGGCAGCTTGAGGAAACAGTCAAGTATTATAATGAAATGTGCAAAGATCTGGAATTAGGAAACCCAAAGGGAAGAACACACTCTGCATTTCTTAAGCTAAAAGAACTGAAGAAAAAATTCAAGCCTCGACTTGAAATATTGAAGTATTCTTTGGGAATGCAGTTCTGGTGTGGCACTGTAGGATAAGCACTGAACTGCTAATCACTAGGTCAGCAGTTCAAACCCATCAGCTGCTCCTTGGAAACCCTGTTCAGGGATGCTATGAGTCAGAACCAACTCGATGGCACTTAACAACAACAACATGGGCAGAATATTGAATAATGAAGAAAGCATTGAAAGAAATACAGTGTCACTGTACCAAAAAGAAATGGTCAGTTTTCAGCCGTTTCAAGAGGTAGCATATGACCAAGAACCAATAATAACTGAAGAAAGATGTCCAAGCTGCATTGAAGGAATTGTCAAAAATTCAAGGCTCTGGGAATTGATGGAATACAAATTGAGATCAAACAAACTGATGAAGCACTGGAAGTACTCATCTATGCCAAGACATTTGGAAGACCAACTGATAGGGAAAGATCCATATTTGTGCCCATTGCACAGAGAGGTGACCCAACAATATGGGAATCATTGAACAATATCATTAATATCACATACAAGTAAAGGTTTTTTTTGGGAGATAATTCAATAACAGCTGCAACAGTACACTGACAGGGAAATACTAGAAATGCAACCCAGATTCAGAAGAGGATATGGGACAAGGGATATCACTGCTGATGTCAGATGAATCTTGGCTGAAAGCAGAAAATACTAGAAAGCTGTTTGCTTTTCCCTTGTTGACTATACAAAGGGTTTCAACTGTATGAATCATGATAAGCTATGGATAGCATTGCTAAGAATGGATATTCCAGAACACATAATTGTATTGGTGAGGAACCTATGACCAAGAGGCAATTGTTCAAACAGAACAAGGAGATTCTGAATGCTTTAAATTAGGAAAGGTGTATGCCACAGTTGTATTCTTTAGCCATACTTATTCAGTTTGTATGCTAAGCAATTAATCTGAGAACTGTATTATATAAAGAAGGATGTGGAATCAGGATTGAAGGAAGATTCATTAATAGCCAGCGATACGCAAATGATACAACCTTGCTTTCTGGAAGTGAAGATGACTTAAAATATTTGCTGATGAAAATCAAAGATTACAGTGGCGATAAGGGTTTATGCGCCAGACTGCAAAGCAATTTGAGCTGTAAGGTCGGCGGTTCAAGTTCACCTGTCGCTCCTCAGAAACCATATAAAGGGTTGCTATGGGTCAGAACTGACTCAACGGCACTTAACAACAACAACATATGAATTGTACCTCAATATTAAAACAAAAATCCTCACAACTAAACCAATAAATAACAAATGGAGAAAAGACTGATGTTGCCAAAGGCTTTGTTTTGCTTGGATTCACAACTTGTGGAAGCAGCAGTCAAGCAATGTATTGCATTAAGCAAATCTGCTGCAGAAGACCTCTTGAATGTGTCCAGAAGCAAAATTGTCAATTTGAGGTCTGAGGTGCGCTGAACCCAGGCCATGGTATTTTCAGTATGCATGTGAAAGTTGGATGATGAATAAACACCATAGAATTGATGCACTTGAGTTATGGCGTTGGAGAATAATATTGAGGGTACTGTGGTTGGCAAGAACAAACAAACCTGTGACGGGAGAAGTACAGTCAAAATGCTCCTTTGAAGGCAGAACGGTTAGACTTCATTTCTCATACTACACACATGGTATCAAGAAGAACTTATCAGAGAAGGACATCATGCTTAGTAAAGTGGAGGGTCAGTAAAAAACGTGGAAGACTACCCCCCAATGAGATAGATTTGCACAGTGGTAGTAGCCACGGACTCAAGAGTAACCATTGTGAGGCTGGCACAGCATCAGGCAGTGTTTCGTTCTGTTGTGTGTAGGATCGCTATGAGTTGGATCCAATTCAATGGCAACTAACAACAACAGAGTAGACTAACATGTGACAAACTGATAGAACAAGGTTGTTGTAGTTATGTGCTGTGGAGTCGGTTCCGACTCATAGCGACCCTACACAGGGTTTCCGAGCCTGTAAATCTTTACGGGAGCAGACCGCCTCATCTTTCTCCTGCGGAGTGGCTGGTAGTTTCGAATTGCTGACCTTGCGGCTCGCTGCCCGATTCGTAACCACTACGCTACCAGAGCTCCTTAAGAGACACATTTTTATTCACTTAGTTGTTCCTCAAAGGCTTATTTCTTAACTCTAAAGACCTTGAGCATCTTTACCACCTTTCTCTCCAGCCTCTTACCAGAACTATGAACTGATTTGAATTACACTTTTTCCCCCTCCTACAATATTGATCAAGAGATCAGAATTTGACAAAATGGAATGGGAGGTTTGTGAGGGAATTTATAGAATAACATTAATTATACACACATACAACAGAATATTCTACACAAATCTCATACCTGCTCTTCTCCGGGACTCCTGAATGTAAGCATGCATAAACTGAAGGCCAAATAATTCCTGTTCTTCATCTATATTTTCACTTGGAGGAAGTGTTACTTCTAATTTCAGTGGGTTGTCTCTGAAGTTGACAAACCTAGCAGTTCACCCCCCAAAAAAACAAAAAAAACAACAACAGTATTTTATAGGTATCATAGAAGTACACATTTATTTCCATGAAGATCAACTGATAATATACTAAATTACCCTTTTTAAAAAAATGATTTTAATAGCTGAACATCTTTCAAGTTTCTTTCCCAGAAGGAAAAAGTAGCTTTGGATAACTAACGTTCAAAGCTTGTAAAAGCAACTGTTGATTCCTATATTTAATACCATAAAGTTTAATTTATGAGTCATTTTAATGTACCTTAAATATAAAATTGTTAAGTACCATCAAGTTTGTTCTGACTCAAAGCGACCTTGTAAACCAGGGTTGGGGAACCTTTTTTTCTGCCAAGGGCCATTTGGATATTTATAACATTTGTAAGCCATATAAAATTATCAACTTAAAAATTGTGAAGTGCAATTGTGTAGGTTCCAACTCATAGTGACCCTAAATAGGTTTTCCGAGGAGCAACTGGTGAGTTTGAACAGCCAACCTTGTAGTTCAATTAACTGCGGTTGCCTGGGTAGAGCCAGACCAAATGGTTTCACGGGCCTCATACAGCCCTACAAGTTGGACATTCCCCTCTCCTGCTGTAGGGGTTTTTGAGCAGCAACTGGTGGATTTGAATTGCTGACCTGTGGTTAGCAGTACATGCTTATCTCACAGTGCTACATCAGGACTCCCAAATAAATAAATTCTGTGGGAAAGTGTCTGCATGTAAAGACTTAACCTGTGTTTTATTTATAAGTATTATCTTTACCACCTAGTACAATGCTCAGTCGTTGCTGAGTAAGTAAATGAATGAACTTGTGGGAGGTGTGGTTTTTGGTGTGAATTCTGATGTTTCATGTTCACTATCAGAAAATTAAATTTTGGGAACACTTGAAGGAGACCAATAACAATTAATTTAGTAAAATGTGATATGTGTTTTTTATTCATAGCATAATCTCTGTCCAGTTATAAAAAATAGAAAGTAATCACTATTTAGCTTTCTAATTTTTACATTGCTTAATAAGATTCATTAGCAGTTAGGAAAATGGTTTATGTGAAAATGTCATCAACATAGAATATTTCCTAAGCCCTTACAAATAAAATCCAGTAATACTTTTATTTGAAAGGTTCTTTCTTGAATAATATAGATCAGTATTATATGAGTTACATTAATCACAATTATAGAATTTTAAAGGTAGAAAAAATTTTAATATATCTATTTGTCTGAATGAGAACCCAGATTTATTCATTTAAAATTCTCTATGTTACTTTTGCTCTGCAACTAAAAGGAACATACCAGTTTCGTGTCTAAAACTTTTTACCTCAGATTTGTCATTTCCTCCATGCTCACTGGAATATCTTGCAGCTGATTGTTGCTGAGAACAAGAGTACCCAGATTTTTCATATTGCTGATTGTTTCTGGCAAGCATGTTATTTCATTCCGCTGTAGCCATAAAGTATGTAGCCTTTGCATTCTGAAGAATTATAAAAAAAACACAAACCAAGATGTCTACAATTAACCACATAATATGAAACCCTGGTTTTTATTAACTTTAAAATAAATGTCCATTTTTATAACATCTTCTTTACCCAGTATATCCATTATTATGTTAACTGACTTCATCTTACTTGAATACTAGAATAACTACATGGTAGAGTTCTTCCCTATTCTATAGATTTTCTCATGTGATAAAACTGAAATCAATGTATTTTAGAAGTATAACAGATTCTTCAATATTTTCATAGGATTTCCTAACAAAAAAAACTGTGGTAAATATTATTTAACATGATCCTCAGAGTCTTAAAAGAAGACTATCACAAAGCATTGGTATGCCCATTTGCACAAGACGGTATAGCACGATGGTCAATTAACAGCATGGACTTGGGTCAGGCTGTCTTGGTTTAAACCCTGGCTTTCCACTGTGATTTTGGATGCATTAGCTAATATCTCTGTGCCTTAGTTACCACGATTTCTAAAGTGCTTAGTGCTTGCATGTGCTAAGCAATGTTATTGTAGAGCATTTGTTAATTTTCTTAAATCAGAAACCCAGCTTTTCTTTCCCCAAACCCTTCTACTAGGTTTAAATGAAAATATTCTATTACTGAAAAGTAGCAAATTTAAATTTAATCTTTTATGCATGCGAGTCTTTCTGGTTTTTTTGGTTTTCTTATAACTGGTTTCAAGGTAAAAGTTATTTACCTTTCTATAGTATCAGGAAGTTGTTTAAGTCTGTTGCTTCCCATGTCAAGCCACTCTAGGGCTGGCATATTCAACACAGCAGGAGGGATTGTAGAAAACTGGTTCATACTCAAATCAAGGTGCAGAAGATTTAACAGCTTGCTGAGCTGAAGAGGAAAGCAAGACTATCAGAATAATTGTCCACAATGTAAACTAGTAAAAGACTTACATTGGTGCAGTAGGTATTTCATATCAAGGAACATGCACATCATACTTGGGCTGTACTGCTTGCTAACCGAAAGGTTAGCAGTTCAAACCCACTAGCCATTATTCAGAAGCCTTGAACAGGGTCTTTATAAATCAGAACCAAATCAATGGTTCTTAGCAACAATAGTACAAAACAAATTTGAAATACAGCTAAACTTCAGAGACATGAAAAACTCTGTTTATGAAGTTTATCTATTCTGTGGAACTGTATTTTCCAGTATAGTCAAGTGCTAGGGTCTGCAGAACCTGCCTGGCAGAAGCTTATCTGTACTTAAGTGCTTAACCATGTATCATGTTTGTTTTTATCCAGAAGATGTATGAGAAAAAGCAAACTCCAAAATTAGTGGTTATCTTTATTGAATCCTCTTCTTTGTGCCTGGTCCTTTACACATATGAGGCAATCTTTAAAAAGTTAATGAAAATATTCCGTGATCTTTTCAATCCAATTTTACACAAACTTTTTATCTATTATCTCAATCACAGGATTTATGCTTTAACAATTTTTTCATGAAATAATTATTGAACATAAAATAATGTGTTTAGATAAAGAAAGAACCATGGGTACAACTGCAGCTCTCTAGGTATTTCTCCCATTATCCTCTCTAGAGGTAAGTATCCTGAATTTGGTTATGTCTCATTTCGATGTATATGAGTGTGTATGTGTATAGTTTATCATTTAAAATATGCATATATTTTAAATTATGCATGTGTATATATATTTTTAAATACATATTTAAAATTATAAACTATATAAGCAAAATCAAGCCCTGATGTGGCACTGTAGGATAAGCACTGAACTGCTAACCACAAGGTAGGCAGTTCAAACACACCAGTGACTCTTAGAAACCTATACAGGGTCGCTATGAATCAGAACCAACACGATAACATGCAACAACATGTAAACAAATATATATTTCATAAACAAAACCTAATGCTCTGGTAGCATAGTGGTTACGAATCGGGCTGCGAACCTTAAGGTCTGTGGTTCGAAACTACCAGGCGCTCCGCGGGAGAAAGATGAGGCTTTCTACTCCCGTAAAGATTTACACCCTTGGAAACCCTGTACAGGGTCGCTATGGGTCGGAACCGACTCGATGGCACTTAACAACAACAACAACAATGTTCTATTTAGTTAACATTTTTGGTAAGGGTTATGCTATTGCACTTATCTTTCTTTAACTTTTTTATCTCTATTGTTAAGTGTCACCAAGTTGGTTCTGACTCATAGCAACCCTGTATAGGATTTCTGAGGTTGTAGAGTTTTGCAGGAGCAAAAAGTCTTATCTTTCTAGCAGAGTCTGGTGTGCTTGAACCGCCAACCTTGTGGTTCACAGTCCAGTGCTTATTCTATCAGTGTTTAAATGTATTCATGTTGATGCATGTAGCTCTAGTTTATTCATTTTTAAATATTCACTATCTGTGTAAGTATTTCATTGTACATTGGTGATGGTGTGCCGTGGAGCTGGTTCCAACTAATAACGACCTTGTATAGGGCTTCTGAGGCTGTTAATCTTTACATAAGCAGAAAGCCCCATCTTTCTCCTGCAGAACTCCTGGTAGTTTCGAACTGCTGACTTTGAGGTTAGCAATCCAGTTCATAACCACTAAGCTACCAGAGCTCCTTCATTGTACATTAAATTAGTAAATAATTCAGACAGCAACCTTACAAAGTAAGTTGTCATTAAAATGTTTTATAGATAAAATGGCTCAGACAGTTAATTGGAAAATGGAGCTATGAAGTATACTGAAGTTTTTGTGTGCATAAGCTAACACAATCTTTTCCTTTTTCCACATAACTTCCAGCAAAAGTTTCAGGATGGGATAATTACATTAACTTTTTTTTTCTAGTTAATAGACTCTCCATATAGCTAGAAAGTTCCTAGGCTTTATTTCTGCCTGGTGGACCTGTCCAAATTCATCCTACAACTTTTACACCATTAAAAAAAAGTTCAGAAAGGAAATGATTTGAGGCTGCATAAAAGCAGAAAGTTTCTCTCTAATAGGCAGTCCTGTTTCTCTGGCATTAGAATCCAAGCAGTGACTAAAATATTTTTTCAAATGTGTTACCAGACTTTCAAATACTTTGATTTACATAAAGTGTGTACAATATAAAAACTGAGAAATGTCTCCAATTGCTAGTTTCTGAGTAGAACTAGAACCTTTTAATTTTAGAAGATTGAAAAAATTATTAAAGTTTTTCTAATGTAATACTCTTAATTTTGCAGATGTAAAAATTGAGACCTAGTAATACAAAAGGGTGCATCCAACACCTCACATCTATTTAGGGGCCACACTTTTGAAATTAAAGGATCCTAGGCTTAGCATCTTTGTATTTGTTCCACTATAAACTCCTTCTATGAATGAAAAAATAGAGATTAACAAGCATGCCCAAATTCACTTGGCTTTTTAGTCACAGACCCAATCCTTGAAATAAAAATCTCAAGATTTAGAAATTGGAAATAAATATTTATTGTCCCTCTTGCAGTATAAAGAAATTGTCCCTGTGACCCTCATTTTCATCATAAGCAATGACATACGTTTTATTAAATCAAACTATTGGGGTGGCATCGTATGATAAGCATTCGACCTCAGGGTTGGTTTGAACCACAAGGTCGGCAGTTTAAACTCACCAGCTGCTCCTTGGAAACCCCATACAGGGTTGCTATGATTTGGAACAGCACGTAACAACAACAATTATAATATGAAATACATGTTAGAAGCTGTTTTACTTGCTGAAACAACAGCTATTGGTGGCATCTGTACTAATTTCAACAACAAAAGCTGATATAAACACTCACCAAGATCCAGTCTTATACTTTAAGGTACTTTTTTTCTTTGCTTTGTTTTGTTTTTTAATATCTCCCAAAGTTACTGTTACCAAGACAATACACCATGGCAATTTTCTCTTCTGATTTTAAGGAGCAGTATGTTTGAAAATAATGCAAACGTCTATCTGTATGAGCAATAGATTTTGGCCAATACCAAGACATCATACCAAATCAGAGTTTGAGGCTTTCCAAGGCCTTTGTCTTGCTTTTACTTGGTAGAGCCTAAGAATCTAGCAAAAAAACAACAATTTCCTACACTCAACAATTTTTAAATAACTCAATAATTAAATAAGAGTCTCATCACATCCCCTCTCTCTCAAAATGGATGACACTATAAAAAGTAACTAGTAAAGGGTTTTTCTGTCACTACATTGTCTGTGATTTATGATGATTAGTCATTTGCTCATTTAAAAAAGCATTTATTAAAAACAGAAAGAATAGAAGCAAACACTGCTGAATTATGATGCGCAGAGGAGATTGTAATCATTGCAATGTAAAACTGATGCTCCTTCATGTAAACTATCACTCAATTCACAATAAAAACTTTTTTTTTTTTAAAGCATTTATTAAGTAACCAGTAAAACTGGTTCTGCCCTCAATTCTGGGGATATAAAAAGACAATAAAAACTGCTGATGGTCTGCTCTGTAAACCTTCACTCAATTCACAATAAAATGTTTTGCTTTTTTTTAAAGACAATCTGGTTTTCAAGAAAATTACAATCTAGTCAACAAATGATGCCAGTACTATGAAAATAATAGAACTATCTTCTGGATTAAGCAGATCCTTTCCTAATTAAAAACATTTTTTATAAAAACAAGAAACCATTTTCACTTTTGTTGAAATTAGAACGCTCAGATTTTCTTTATTGGTTTTCTTTTTAATGATCACATGATTGTAAAGTAACGCATTAATGTTATTAAATGCCTTCAAGTCAGTTCCAGCTCATAGCAACCCTGTATAGGATTTCCAAGGAGTGGCTGGTGAGCTTGAACCTCCGACCTTGTACAAACCAGGTACAGACTGACATTGCAGTCCAGAGAATTAACCCATATAGTGCCACACCAGGACTCCAAAGCATTGATAGATTGAAAATAAAATTATAGGCATTTCTAATTTCCTTACCTCTTGTGGAAGGTCACAGATATCTCTGTTAACAGCAAGTTCTAGTTTCTCCAAGCTGGCACAGTTACTTAGTTCTTTGGGGACAGTCTTGATTTTGTTGTAGCTAAGAATCAATTCCTGAAGTCTAGTGAGCAGTCCTAGAAAAAAAAAAAAAAAATATATATATATATATATATGTAAATACAGAACAGATATATATAAAATATTATTTTCAGCTATTAAATATTACAACATAACATACTTGTCAGTTTCACATTAGCAAATTTACAGTTCTTCTTCCCTCAAATTGAAGCTGAAGAAAATGAAAACAAGTCCACAAGAGCCAAAATATGACTTGAATATATACCACCTGAATTTAGAGATCATCTGAAGAACAGATTTGATACATTAAACATTAAAGTCTGAAGACCAGAAGAGTTGTGGGATGACATCAGGAACATCATACAGGCAGAAAGCAAAAAGTCATTAAGAAGACAAGGAAGAGGGAAAAAGGTCAAAATGGATGTCAGAAGAGACACCGAAACTTGCTCTCTAGCATAGAGATGCTAAAGCAAATGGAAGAAATGAGGAGGTCTAAGAGAAAATTTCAAAGATCAGCTTGAGAAGATAAAGCCAAATATTACAACAAAATGTGCAAAGATCTGGAATCAGAAAACCAAAAAGGAAGAACATGGTCAGCACTTCTCAAGCTCAGGGAACTTAAGAAAAATTCAAGCCTCGACTTTCATTATTGAAAGAGTCTCTGGGAAAATTACTGAATGATGCAGAAAGCATCAAAAGAAGATGAAAGGAATACACAGAGTCACTGTACTAAAAGGAAATGGTTAATGTTCAACCGTTTCAAGAGGTAGCATATGATCAAGAGCCAAAGACACTGAAGGAGGAAGTCCAAGGTGCATTGAAGGAATTGGCAAAGAATAAGGCACCAGGAATTGATGGAATAAACATTGAAATCTTTCAAGAAAGTGAGGCGGCACAGGAGGCACTCACTCATCTCTGCCAAGAAGTTTGGAAAACAACTATCTGCCCGACTGATTGGAAGAAATCCAAATTTGTGCCCATTCCAAAGACAGATGATCCAACGGAATGCGGAAATCATCAGACAATCTCTTTGATATCACATGCAAGTAAAGTTTTACTAAAGGTAATACAGAAACTGCTGCAAGCATACATTGACAGAGAATTTCCAGATGTTCAAGCCGGATTCAGAAAAGGTGCTGGAATGAGGGATATCATTGCTGATATTCGATGGATCTTGAATGATGTTTGCCTGTGCTTTAATAACTATGCAAAGGCTTTCAATTGTGCAGATCATGACAAGCTATGGACAACATTGCGAAGTATGAGTATTCCAGAACATTTAATTGTGCTCATGAGGAATCTGTACATGGACCAAGAGGCAGTTGTTCGAACAGAACATGGGAACACTGAATGTTTTAAAATTAAGAACGGTGTGTGACAAGGTTGTATTCTTTTACCATACTTATTCAACCTGTATGCTGAACAAATAATCCGAGAAACTGGGTTATATGAAGAAAACGTGGCATCAGGATTGGAGGAAGACTCATTAACAACCTGCGATATGCAGGTGATACAACCTTGCTTGCTGAAAATGAAGAGGACTTAAAACATTTACTGATGAAGATCAAAGAGCACAGCCTTCGGTATGGATTACATCTCAATGTAAAGAAAACAAAAATCCTCACCACTGGACCAATAAACAACATTCTTATCAACAGAGAAAAGATTGAAGTTGTCAAGGACTTCATTCTTCTTGGATCAACTATCAACACTCATGGAAGCAGCAGTCAAGAAATCAAACAATGTATTGTATTAGGCAAATCTGATGCACAAGACCTTTTTAAAGTGTTGAAGAGCAAAGATGTCAGCTTGAGAACTAAGATGCGCCTGACCCAAGCCATGGTATTTTCAGTAACCTCATATGCATGTGAAAGCTGGACAGTGAATAAAGAAGACTTTAGAAGAATTGATGTTTTTTGAGTTATGGTGTTGGAGGAGAATATTGAAAGTGCTATGGGTGCCGAAAGAACCAGTAGTTCTGTTTTGGAAGAAGTGCAGCCAGAGTGCTCCCTGGAGGGCAAGTTGGCCAAACTTGGTCTCTCATATTTTGGACATATTGTCAGGAGGGACCAATCTTTGGAGAAGGATATCATGTTTGGTAAGGTGGAGGGTCAGAGAAAAAGAGGAAGACTCCCAATGAGATGGATTGGCCAAGTGGCAGCATCGATGGACTCAAGCATGGCAACAATAGTGAGGTTGGCCCAGGATCAAGCAGAGTTTCATTCTGTTGTGCATAATAACATCTCTATGACTCCGTACCGCTTGATGGCACCTAACAACAGCAACAAACTTCTTCCCTCTTCCCAGTCTCTATCCTGCCCCTTCTTCAAACAAGCATTATAGGCAAAAACAGAGAAAAAAAAATCACAGTGCTTTATCTGCACTATATCCTGAGAAATTTTCCATTTATGAATTTCTATTTTTCTTTCCCCATCCCTTAACTGGATGCCTTTCAAGAGTTTTACTTGATCTAGTAGTAGTATTTCCAGAATCTACACAATATTTTCGAACAAACATTCCTTATACTGAAATCTCATCTTGAATCTAGAATTTAGAATCTAGAAGCTTGAATCTAGAAGCTTGAATCTCCTGAAAGCTGTGATTTAGATTGTTGTTTTTGTTTAGTGCCATTGAGTCAGTTCCAACTCATAGGGACTCTGTATATATACATATAGATATAGTTGGTGAGCAGCTGGTGAGCTGAACCGCCAACCTTGCAGTTCAAACCAATTTTGCAGTCCAGCGCATTAACCCACGGTGTCTCACACCAGGACTTAGAGATAGATTTAAATTAGATGTTTACATTTTACTCATGACTATGAAGTCCTGGTGTGGTGTTAATCACACGGTCTGTGTTTCAAACCCACCAGCCACTCAGGAAATCTTATACAAGGTCACTATGATTGGGAATGACTTGACAGCACTTAACAACAATATAAAGATGAGATCTTTATTACATATATTCAAATATTTTCTTCAATAAAATCGTATCTGTAGGTGAATAAAATAGCAGAAAACTAACAGCAATGTTCCTTACCAATTCCCCGTGGTATCTCCGAAATTGTATTTCGAGATAAATCTAACACAATCAAGTTCTGGAATCTGCCAATAAATTCAGGAATTTTCAACAAACCAATTCTATGAAGTTGCCATTCCTGCAACTGATTCAGTTTCAGTAGAGAAGAAGGAAGGGTCTAAATTCAAGTAAAAAAAAAAAAAAAAAGTCATTTTATTACTTTAAATTATTTCAGTACCATGTATGATTATAACAATACCTTGGATAAAAAAAAAAAAAAAAAAAGATATGTGGTTTTGGTGAAAGTTTATGCAGCAAATTAGGTTCACATGTAACTACATATGTCACTATATATTGTTGAGTGCCATTTGTTACAGTTTTTACAATATGTCAATATCCTCTGTATTCCATTCTGATCGTTCATTTCCATTTTTCTAGCTTTCCTTCACCCCACCTCCTCCCTCTTCTCGTCTTTGTTTTATGATACATTTTTATCATTCGGTCTCAGAATTTTTTTTAAGTTCAGTATTCACAGGTGATAGGGTTTTATGATGGAATCTGCTATTTCACTGAAAGGTAACCTTTGGGACTGGTTTCAGTTCCAACTTTAAAGGGTGTCTTAAGGTCTCAGGGATTCCTCTAGTCTCTACTGGACCAATAAATATGTTGTTGTTGTTAACTGCTGTCGAGTCGGTTCCGACTCGTAGCGACTCTGTATGAGTTTCCGAGGCTGTAAATCTTTACGGGAGCAGAAAGCCTCAGCTCTCTCCCATGGTGCAGCTGGTAGTTTTGAATTGCTGACCTTGTGGTTCGCAGCCTGATTCGTAACCACTACTACACTACCAGAGCTCCTTGGATCAAAAATATGGCCTTTAAAAAATATTTTGTGTTTTGCTCTCCATTTTTCTTCCATTCTATCAGGAACCGTCTGGTCTCAAGAGTCAGTAATGGTAGCCTGACACAGAATAGATGAGAATGTGGTTCATGTGGGTCATTTGTCCCGGTGAGTAGTTTCTTCTTTGAATCTTTGGTTTCTTTCTTTTTGTGTGTGTGTCAGACTAGTAGAGATGAACAGTTTATCTTTCATGACTGACTACAAGCTTTTAAGACCCATAACCCCACCAAACTAGGATGCAGGATGTAAACTTTCTAAATAAACTATGTTGTGCCAGTTAACCAAATTGCCCCTCTAGACTATGAAACTAAGCCTTCAAACCCTGTAAACCAATCTTTGGAGGTATTTGGTTATGTCTAAGACTGTACTTCAAAAAGTGTGTGGAAAAAATTCCATTATCTTTAAATTCCATTTTACCATGAACTTAAAAAAATCCATATATATATATATATATAAGCTCTGGTAGCATAGTGGTTACGAATTGGGCTGCTCAGGATCAGCAGCTCGAAACTACCAGTGGTTCCATGGGAGAAAGATGAGGCATCTGCTCCCATAAAGATTTACAACCTCAGAAACCCTGTACAGGGTCACTATGAGTCAGAACCGACTCCACAGCACATAAAAACAACAAATATATATGTGTGTGTGTATGTATATATGTATATATAATGTAGTGTATGTGTATATACGTATCTATATGTATCACATACAAACTTGCATATATTTATGCTTACAGATGTACTTATATATGCACCCATCTTTCTATACATATATGCATATCTATCTACCTAGGTAATCAAATGCATATTTTTGGTTGTTATTGATATTGCTGCAGAATTGTGTATATCATTTACTGAAATCATCCCTCCTTATTCTTGGGTAATTCTTAGTGTTGGCATTTACCTCAGTCATGTTGTGCATACTTAACCACCATTTGAAGTTACCTTTCTTATCATCAAAAATAACAAATGTCCACTATCTGGAAAGTGTGTCCCTCTCCTTCCCCTTCCCATCCCTGGTAACCACCAAAGAATGCTGATTTCTGTATGTGTAGCTCTTTCTGTATTTTTAAAAAAGTGGAGTCATATAACATTTATTCTTTTGTGCTTGATTTATTTAACTCAGCTAAATGTCTTTCAGATTCATCCATGTTATATATGTGGATTCATTATTCTTTATAGCTCATAATAT